CAGAATGAGATGATTGTCAAGCTGCGACGTTTGAGTCAATGGAACGTTGATGATGACGGAAGAATCGTGTGAGTGGTGGGCCGAGGTTGATGGGGATGGACCAGCACAACTGTTGGCTTGCGTTTGTGTTGAGACGCACTGCTGAGATGGAAGTAGCGCCTGTCAAGGCTGTAAAGAGAGGTATCTTGGCGGAAGGTGCTCCAATGCCGTGCTTTCCGTACCTTTGTGGTTAGTCACCTCTGAAGCAGGATCGCGAGGTGGGCCGACCTCGCTCGGTGTCAAAAAGGGGGATGAGTGGTGGGGTGGTTGAATTGGTGGCGTCTTGTGTTTCTAGCGCCGAGGCTGAGCTTTTGTTCGCGCCAGGGGGGACTTGATGAGGGCGACCCAGGAAGGTACATACTGAGTAGGTCGGCAGTTCTCGCTTCGTGTAGTGTGACTGGACTGACCACTGGGCTGCGAGCTATGACGAAACCAAGAGGTCAATTGGAGATGGTGTAGTTGCAAGACGGAATGTAAGTGGTAACCGCTAGCAATGCTGGTAACGCGGAGTGGCCTGATTGCTGTGAGATGTTTTGAAGCCTCTGGGAGGAAGAATCCCAATTGATGTTCGGATGGGAATGCTCTCCATTTAAACGTCACGTCTCGTACCCAGGAAGTGCCGAAGGAAGGAGCACCATCTTTGTCGTGAGCTTCGCTTTCCCTGGTCGCTTGGCTCAGGTCGGGCAGGCACCAGTCGCCCCTCGTGGGTCCAACCGCGCTGGTGCCTGGACGCGACGGGACACAGTACTTCAGCAACCTTACCTACTGACACGAGAACACGTGATGGGCAGCATGACTCTGATAATCCCCGAGGCAGAGGGGTATCGTGAATCCACGTCTATGGCACTGCTGCCTGGACTGGTATCATGTAAATGCGAATTCAGGTCTTGTGGCACAAAGCTGGCTGAAGCCAATTGACGCCATGGCGATCAATCGACACAGCCAAGCGAAAAGCGATTGGCACTTGGATGCGTTGGCTACCGCCCACCTATCGCTGACAATTCAGGGCGAGGTGACAGGGCGAGGTAACAACATTACGACAAGTCAAACAACACACGAAATTATTGCGCAAAGGGCACCGAAGAAGGTCAAAACAAAAAAGGTCAAAGAGTGCGGTGACATGCTGAATGAGCCAGAGGAAGTAATGTTCAACTACTGGTGCCTCTACGGGGCCACAGACTGACAACCAGCCAAGCCAGCTGGTAGTCCTTCAGGTCGTCCAAGGCCTGTGCACCCATGTGATCTGCACCAGGGGTAAGTACCTAGGCACCTTGGCCACCTATCTACCTACCCTACCTAAGGTACCTAGGTAAGGTAGGTAAATACCTAGGTACCTTGCGGTGAAGGAGCGTAGCATGCAGCTGCAGCCTAACAGGTAAGCTCCACTGACACCCTCGACCCCACCATGTCTACCTGGGTAAGGTAGGTAAAGTACCTTGAGAGAATACCCCAGCTACGTCAACCTCCTTCTTCCCCTTGAAATAAAGCACCATCAGCCCGACCTCATCAACAACATTACTCAAATGATCCGAGGCAGGTAGAAAAGTTAGCTATCCGGTGGTCAAAATGACGTCTCAGCCACCGCAATCGCCGGCTTCTGCGGCCACTTCTTTTGGCAAGGTCCCACTTGAGGTCTTCCTTCGCATCACAGACCACCTCACAACGATAGAAAATGGCAACCTGCGCCTCACCTGTCGGTCCATTGAGAGGTCCCTCTTCACAACCTTCAGCAGGGAATTCTTCAGCAAGAAGCAGTTCATGCTCACCGAAGACAGTCTTCAGGCTCTCATCGACATGTCCACCTCGCGGATCGGTGACTGTCTCAAACACATCATCATCGGCCTGGACTACTACAAGGAGGGCTTACAAGTGCATTCGCAAGCAAAAACCACACTCTACACCGCGGGCTGCGATGACCAACGGACGTTCCTTTGGACGGGACAAGCCGTGCTCATGCTGACGGAAGCCTTCCGCAACCTCCAACCTACCGTTGTAGGCATGCGGGACTACGCATCCGATGCGCGTCAGTTCCGAGACGGCTCGCGCGCGAAATGGGCGAGCTACGGCGCGACGACTGTCTGGAAGGAGACCGGCGTTAGTCTACTCGGGGGAAGTGGCTATGATGAGGTAGTCAGCGTCTATGCCTCCCAAGTCTTCTCCATCATCTTGGCTGCTCTGGCCGGCTCAGGCGCCACACCGACGACTATTGAGGTCCTTCGACACCATCACGGCCGTCTTCGTGCGACCGCCTTCAACATTCCCAAGTACCTCAAAGCTTCTCTGCTTCCCGTGCTCTCGAGAATAGAGACCATCTTTCTGCCGTTGGATGTCGTGAGAAAGCGTCATGACTGGGATATAAGCTCTCCGACCCGCTACGCCAGCGCCGATGGCTCGGAACACAACATGGAAATGTGCCCTGATTACCTCTTCCGCGTCTTCCTCTCACATCTGCCCAGCCTCAAACACTTACGTCTCAACTTTCACCGCAATGATACACCAACCGATCTCCTCAAATGGCTTGCCGATCCAATCCCTGACACGCTGGATGCTTCCAAGCTTCCCACAACGTCCAACACCCCTGGCGTTTTGCGCTTGCCTCCGGCAGTCGACTTTCCTTATCTTGAGAGCATCGATTTTGGCATCCTCGCCATTGACCAAGAATCACTCCTTAAGGTCATTCACAAGTTTGCGCTAACGCTCAAGGGCGTCGAGCTGTGGAAGGTCACACTCGTGAGAAACAGCGTCGAGACCAGCGACGTGCCCAACCGGCGCAACCTCTGGAGGCAGTTCTTCGGCAGGATGCGCCACGTCGAAGGCCTCAAACTGAAGCACATGATGGTCGGCCAGCCGCAGCAACGGTTGCAGCAGCGCAGCGCCGTTCGCGACGTGACGTTCAGGTCCCTGTCGCATGAGGGCACGACGAACGCGATTCAGAAGCGTGCCTACCTGGGCAATGAGTGGGACGAATGGATCCAGGACATGGCAGCCGATGTCGTCGTCAAGGGCCTTTCCGATGCAGGTTTAGAAGATAAGTCGGATGTCAGCTCGAGCGATTATTCGACCATGGACGACGAAGACGATCGTAAGTGACCCCCCCTCCCCCCCAGCAGTACTCTTTTCACGAGCGCGCGCGCTTCACTTGTTGGTCGTGTCTGACTTTTGATTCTCTTTTCCTTCTAGCGACCTTGGATGAGACGAACGAAGATGATGACATGGGTGATGCCTGAAGCTGACAGTGCCCTTCTTTTTCACACAGACGAGCTCTTGGCGAACGAGGAGTGGGATGACTGGATGAATGGCTACGATGGCTATGAGCTTGGTGCGGCCCTGGACGAGATTTGGGACGCGGGGTTCAGCCCTGCCAATATGCTTTAGCATGCCAACCTGCCGTAAATGATCCACGTTTTATGAGATACCTCGCAGCGGTGTCAAGTGCTGCTTCGAAGTTGATAATGAGAACAATGTGTGGCCGCAGATGTCGCTTGGCTTTTTGGTTTGTCACGAGTTTTACAGAGGCTTCTCAACATGTACGCCAGTCACAGCGTTCTTCTGTAAGGAGTAACACATTGTGCCGACTCAATTTGATGCTGCTAACTAGAGCTCGAGCGAGAAAGACTCGTCCTCCTTGGCAGTCTTGGCCTCAGACCACGCCTCGACCCAGGTCTTGACAAACGCGAGCTCCGCCTCCTGGACCCTCTTCACCTCGCTCGGCGGCAGACTCTCTCCATAGCCCTCTCGCGCATCCTTGCCCGAGATGCCATTCTCGTCCCAGTGGTGCACCGCACCGCCGCCCATGAGGAGAAAGGGCTCCTCGGTGGTGCTCTGGCGCTCGGGTAGGCCGATGCGGTGCGGCGTTGCCGCGCGCCAGGGGTCGGCTTCTCCGTCGACGATGGCGACGCGTGGATAGGAGAAGCCGAAGCCGCCGTGCTTGTTGATGCGTTCTACATCCGGGAGGGTCGTGATGTTAAAGGCCTCACGACAGGGAAGAGAGGTGTAGTTGAGGTCTATGAGGCGGGAGACGAGGGGCTTTTGGTCTGCGGGGGCGCCAGAGCCGGTCTGGAAGTAACCCCACCTGCGTTGGGAGCATGTCAGCAAGCGAAGGACCGTGGATGCAAGAAGAGAAAGGGGGAGGGAGGGATAAAGATAAAAGTGAAAAAAAAACGAAGATGGGTGACGTACTCGGTGCAAACCTGCCAGAACCAGCTGCGCTCCATCCCCTGATCGAGGTCGACCCTCTGCCAGCGCTCATTGCCTCGGACAGCGAAGCACTTCTTGACATCCCGTCGGGGCAGGCACTTTTGACATCCTGCCTGACGTAGCCGATAAAGTTGAGCAGCTTGACGGTCAGCCCTTCAACTCTCTGCGACTCATCGTCTGACACCCCACCAGCGTGAAGCAAGCGCCGGACCGTGCCTCGAGGTGGCGCGTGCTTGCGAAGAGTTGGCCGTCACTGCGCAGACTGCCACAGTAGAGCCCGAAAGACGAGCGGTCGAGGGCCGGGTCCCAATTCTGTCCCTGCAGCTGGCTGATGCCGGAGGAGAGGACGCTCGCAAAATCATCATCGTGCGTCAGCGCCTCAAGGCCAAAGGCGCTCTTCAAGGCGCGCGGTCCGTCTCGGTGGCGGGCCGCGGAGTGTCAGGATATTATCAACAATCTCGGTCAGCGTGGCCGTCACGTCGGCACAGTCGGCGGGGGCGTAGCGCCTCGCCGCTTCGTAGTACTCCCAGTAATCAACGATGGCCTGGGTCACGCCTGAGCTTGAGACGGCGCCCCAGAAAACATCAGGATAGAGCTTGCGCAGGAAGGCAGCGAAGGCGCCGGCGTAGGAGCCGCCGAAGGCGATCCAGGGGACGTCTGTCGGGCCGAGCTCCTCGTGCTCCAGGTCAGGGAAGGTCACATGCTCAGCAAAGAAGGCCGTGTCGGCAAGGGCCTGCTCGGTGGAGAGGAAACGCAGGTTGGGGATGGAGACGTTGGCGACAGGGAAGGACGTGCCATAGTAGCGGTGCTCGAGGACGAGGCCCAGGCCGTGGGTGGCCTCGGCGAACATGGCTATGATGCCATGGTCAAGGTAGCCTAGGCGGTCTTCACCGGTCGTCTCGCCAGAGGCGAGCAAGAAGACGGGGCCACCGGGACGGTAGTGTTTCTTGTTGATCCAGTATCTCAGAGGGAACGTGCCATTGGAGTGCGGTTCATAGCGGGTCTCATTGTGAAAGTGATCTACTGGAACAGACAGGTTGAAGGGCCCAAGTACGGTATCGTCCTTGAGCGTGATGCGGGGTTGAGATGTCTAGGTGGCTTGATCAGTCAAGAGATCGGGTGGTGGAGGTGGCGAGCTCCGATGCCCCGGATCCCAGCTTGGGACCTGGCTCTCTCGAAGGCTAGTGAGGCCTTGGAGTCACATGAGACTTACCAAGGAAACATGTTCAGTGCCCAAGATGAAAGTGGCTGCCGATGGTGCTGTGGCGAAGATGACTGGCAATGCAATGACCAGTAAAGGCCTCATGATTGTAGCGAACGGAATGTGGTGATGAATGAGAGTGGCAGGGGCGGGCGAATGGGATTGGGTGAACTCAAGTGAGAAGGAGCGAGCTCACAATGGTAAAAGCGCGTTGTTGCCAACAATGTCACGTCACGCACGTCATGGCGCTTGCCTACCGCTACGAGGCCACAAGGGTGTTTGCTGTCGCGCGCTGCCTTTCCAGGTGGCAGGTGCCTTAGGTAAGTCCTGTAATGCAGGAACGACTGCCGAACCAAGGTACCTGCCGACGCCAACAATTCAAGTCCGACCTGCCCTGCCGTTTCCGACCGTTCCAACTCAACACTATCAACATCCACATTCCATAACCTCGCATCGACCAACCTCTGGACCAACCCCGGCCATTGCCCAACAGCGATCGGTCATCAGACATGGCCTGACCAGCTTGGCCAGTGTGGGCGTTCATCGGCTCCCTCAGGTCGTCTTGATCAAATCGGCGGCCTGTCGAAAGTTAGTCTCTTGTTGCCCGCCTACCAAAGCAGCCTGGGCTCACCTTCTCAGCAATGGCATACACGGCCATCGATGTCGTCGCGCCCACAATCGTCGGCATGATGGACCCATCAATCACCCTGAGGTTCTTTGTGCCGTGCACCCTGAGGTTCTCATCGACGACACCGCCGTGCTCCCTCGGCTGCTTTGAGCACGTCCCCACCGGGTGATACACTGACGGGATGACCTGGCCCCTGGCCCACTGGATCAGCTGCTGGTCGCTGCTCACCCCGGTGCCCGGCGACGTCTCTCTGGCGTTGTACTGCGCCAACTGGCCCGTCGTCATGTATCGCCGCATGAACTTGATTGTCTCGATCATGACCTCGAGGTCCACGTCGTTGGTCGCCGCCCGGTAGTCGATGATCATGTCTCCCTCTGGGTTGGATGGGTTGATGAGGATTGTTCCGCGCGAGTGCGGGTGCAGGTTCTGTACACTGCCACCAGGCCCGTACATCATCATCTCAAGGAACACAACGTTGGTCGAACGCATCAGTCGCGCGTAGATCTCCTGCTGCTTCCGGTACCCTGCAATCTGCTCTGCCGTGTAGCTTGACGGCAGGTGACTCGTGGGGTTCTGGCTCTCGTATCGCGTTGCGAGCTGCTGGTACCGCTGTGGGCTGACTACCGGCAGACCGATCATGGCCGCGAGCGCCGGCGCACCGCCCTGCGTCGGGAACCCCGGGAATCCACCGCCGCCTCCAGGCGTCGTGCCCCACTGATACGCGATGCTGGGAATGTAGCTGTGGTCCTGGAAGTTGCTGCCAACGCCCGGCAGGTCAACTCGCACGGGGATCCGGGCCTGTTGGAGCAATGCCTGGGGCCCCACGCCACTGAGCATCAGCACCTGCGGTGTGTGCACTGTACCGGCCGCCAGCAGGACCTCACGGCGCGCGCGCACCTGCGTGGCCGGCCCGCCCGTTTGGTTGCGGCTGACAAACTGGATCCCCGTCGCCGTGTTTTCAGCGCCCCAGAGGATTCGGTTGACCTTGGCACCGACAACCATCTGGTAGTTGGGCCTGCTGATACCATGCCAGTGACCTGTGCGGGAGTATGATCGCTGAAAGTTGGTAGGATCCATGGACATGGGATACCAGTAGAGGCCCGCCTGCCCGGCGCCACTGTCGACGGGGACGGTCATGCCCGGCATGGCGGCCCATGGCATTGTAAAGGACCTCTGAAGCACGCACATCAGCACAGCTATGGCCGTCGGTGCGGAGACCAACTTGCACTTACTCATGAGCTGTGTCGGAGCATCGCGACCAAAGGTTGCGTAAATCTTGGAAGTTGTGCCCCAGTACTGCATGTCCCACTTGATGTTGAACTCTTGCGCGTGCTGCGGGTTAGGACCAGTCAGGGTGATGCCCTGCATTGCGTCAGCGATCTTCTTTCTTCTTCCTCTGCTGTGTTTCTTACCTTTCTAAAGTATGGCAGCAAGCCCTCCCAGTTCCAGGTCGAGCCTGGTCCACCAAGCTCGGCCCAGGCGTTGTACTCTTCGGACGTCCCGCGCAGGAACACCTGTCCGTTGACGTTGGAACTGCCGCCCACGACGCAGCCGATACCCACGGAAAAAGACCGGCCGTTCAGGTTCTGCTGAGGTCGGGACGTGAGGTTGAACATACGCCGGGGGTTCATCCCCGACTGGTTGTCATAGTAGCCATACTCGACGACGAGGACAGAGACTATAATCAAAGTCTCAGTACAACGAACTTGACAGTGAAAAAATAGGCTATGGTATTAGAGGCAACGCACCGCCGCTGTTATTTTCAGTCAGGCGATTGCCGACAGTCAGGCCTGACGTGCCGCCGCCGACGATGATGTAGTCGTATTCATCCTGGACCTGGTTCTGGCGCGACAGGATGTTGATGCCGTCCATGCTTGCTGTCGGCCATGACGAGGCCAGTTGCGAGGCCGTGGCCAGGCAGGCGAGGATGGCCGCCTTGATGGAGGGCATTTTTGGGTAGGTGCTTCAGATCAGAAAAGGCCGCTTATGCTGGGTATCGAAAGAACTGCTGGCAGATCAAGGCAGGACTGTGGTCGACTCCTCCACAAGCATTTTATACCTGCTTATATGCCAGGTTGAGCGTTTCTCACTTATTCTCGAGACGAAGTCGTCTTTGCCACTCAACATGTGATTTCTCAGCGGCAGGCCGGTTCATGTGCACGTTGGCCCTTCACCCGTTTCCCATATTCAATCTAATGTCTGAGCATTCATATCATTGGCTCAACCAGACGATCTGATATGAATGTGCCATCGTGAGAACAGCCGGCTAGAGCCACCAAGCACCAATACGAGCGGGGGTTTGAGCCGGCACATAAGAAATAAAACTCCGCTGTCAGACCGCAAGTCCCGAACGGGGGCGAGAGAGAAAGTGTCCGAAAGCGGGGTGCATCTTCCCGATGTTGAGAAGGAAACCTCTTAGCGGCTAGGGCCTCCCTTTGGTGATCCTATGGGGTAAATGATATTGTCCCGAAGAGGTCGAGGGGGAGTTTTGCCAAGCTGTTGCATTGGAGGTGTGCTTTTTTGCATTCATCCAGATTGAGGGCATGGAGGTTTGAACTCCGAGATCCAGCGTTGCAACGAGAAGACTGGAGTTTTGACAGCATCTTTGATATAAAGTATTGAGCTTTTGGGGCAATGATCTTCTTGTGGTGTCATCGTGTTCACGAGCCGGTTGGAGGGAGGACTTGGAGTTGTTCTGAAGAGCTTGCTTGCTAAGACAGGCTTGAAGAGGGCCACTATCTATCAATCGAGAAGGAATACAAACCGAGTACTCGAAGTGATGAACGGTTTGGGCAGCGATGTAGAGTTTCAACGAGTAAAATATCGCGAGATCAGGTTTGCAGCATCTGGAACGGCGCGGGCGAGAACGAAACCCTGAGCTGCACATATGTTCTGTATACCTCACGACAAATAAGCCGACTTCACAGATTTGCAATCGTCTCTTCCAATTCTTTTGCAAAGCACTTTACCATTCACAAGTCGCACTATATGCATCGTCGAGAAGCCTCGTCATAGAAGATACTGCAGCTTCTACGGTTGTCGAGTATTGTATCACTAGGCAAAAGATGGCTACCAAAAAGGATCTGAGATTTTTCACGTACCCTTACAAGAATGAAACTCTTCACAAGTAATTTTGAAATGTGGTGATGATTTGCAGAGGCAGTCCATAAAGGCAGCCCCTGAATGGATGACCTGTGGCTGCAACAGCCGACCGTACTGCACGGACCTTTGACTGTACCTGCGAATAAACGTGGCCCAAACATCGTGAAGGTCACAAAGCAACCTCATCGACATCACAACCAGAGGCTCATCTGTGTCACCTTAAGACACACCTCATCCATCATTCATAGCTGACTGTGAATAGAGACCCGTCAAACTATTCAATATGTCACAGCCGGATCCCTATTCGGCCTTTCAACCCCCTGGCGTTCGGCAAATCGACGCCGAGGAGCTCAAAACGGAGCTTGATGGTCTCTCACCACGGATCTTTGCAGCATGGAACCAGCTGCAAGACATTGTGAAGCGGCATGAAGCGACGATTCAAAACCGCTGGTCGCGCAAATCCAAGTCGAAACGCAAGGCTCTCCTCCTCGAAGTGCTGCCGACGATTCCGAAGGACCATCTCCCTGATGTGGAGGCCTGGAAGAAGAAGCCCAAGAGCGTCATCGTTGACAAGGAGAATTCCGATGCTTATTTAATGCCATATATCAACCTTGAAGACTTGTCGAAGACGGAGCCGCTGCTGATCATGCTCAACGCTAGGGCTAGGAATGGGCCTGATGAGTTCGCCCACTCGGATGTGGCGGCCTACCGCACCGGCTTGGTCACGCAGAGCATCGACCGACCTTTCTTGAACCTGTACGTCATGATGTTCAGAGGGAGGAAGACGCCAGAGACGTATGGAGAACTGTACCACTTTGACGACCATGAGGATGCCTCAGACTGGGCGTTCGAAGCAAGAGGCCTCACGCCTGGCGATGGCCTCAATTGTCTCAAGATTCAGGCTAAGCTCTACGAATTTCTGCAGGACTTCTGTCTCAAGCTCCTTCACGACATACCTGAAGGCGACCTGATCGGACCCAGTTACCCTGTAGTGGACGAGCCTCCACCAGTCTCTGCCAACAGTGCCGAGGCGGGAACCACATCACTGTCCATCACGTCGCTCGAGTCAGCGTACCGCCTGCCAGCTCGCATAGACCTCGATCGCCTAGAAGCCGTCGTGATAGCACAGGTTGCCGAGCTCGAGGATGAACTGTGGGCACTGCGTGAGGATCCCGAGGCTTTTGCCAACACAATCCTCGAGACCAAGGAGCATCGCCAAGAGATGCTTCTCGACACCAACGGCAAGCCGCATCCAATTCATGAACCATCACGCATCCACATATTGTGGGAGCGTGTCATCACCAGTGTCATCGTGGACAAGACCGTTTCTCTTGGTCTGTGGCACATTGTGTTGGAAAAGGTGCACACGCTGCGCCGCGCTCTGGATGCGCACAAGAACCAGATTGACCCTGCAGAGGATCTGCCTGAGAAGTTGGCGATGGCGTTCTACGAGCTCTTCTCTATCCTCGAGAGGATGGAAGCTGGCCCAGTGACAACTCTCAAGATTTCTTTTCCGGGTTCTCCACCGATGCGCAGCCTTTTCCAGAGAGAACCAGCGCCTAATGCATACACGCCCATGATCAACACCGTGTCGAAGCCGGACGGGGCCAACAAAATCGAGCAAGAGTTCATTTACATCATGGACATGATGTGGGACAACCAGAAGCGTCACCTGTTGACGACTAAAGGTCTGCTGGACATGTTGAACAGCCTGCTCCAGAAGGAGCCCTCGGCCAATGCGCTTTTGACGCCCTACATCCAGGAACAGCTGGGTCACTTTGCCCTCATTACAGAGTGTCTCCGCCAGCTTCAGCTCTTCCAGCCCTGGGCTGACACGTTTGAGCAAAAGATCAACGAGTCCAAGGACCAAATCAACAAGGACTTTTCCGTCAAGACACAATGGATGACTGCCATCAGCCAGATGAGCCTCGGCACAGCTTTTGTTCATTTCGGCGTCCCGACAGACGGGCGATTCCGTTACCCGGCTGCAAAGGCCAAGACGAAGGACAACATTGAGGCAATGCGATCCGCCGAGGCTTCGCTCGATGCGTTCTGGTCCTCGTTCCTGCAGACGTACCAGCACACGCTGAGCCCTCGCATCCGTGACATTCTCATCCACAGGGAGCGTCAGCGCACGAAACCCTGGGCCGAGCCCATCAAAAGCACCCCCTCGGCCAAGGGACGCGACGCCCAGCTCGCGGCCTCGGTCGGCAGCCTGCATATCAAGGAGCAGCAAGTCTCGTCCGCGCCCGCCAAGACGAAGACCAAGACACGGGGCGCCTCCGCGCCAGAGAAAGCCGACGCGCAGCCCGTCGCGCCCGCACCGCGCAGCGATGCCGCGCAGAAAAAGATCCAGGTCGACAAGCGCGCCCTCAAGGTCTTCAACGCGCTCTTCTTCTCGAGCGACCCGAACCAGCAGGCCAGCGAGACCAATTGGAGTGATTTCCTGTACGCCATGACGAAGACTGGGTTCGCGGCGGAGAAGATTTACGGGTCTGTCTGGCAGTTTACGCCGACTGGCCGCGAGAGTAAGAAGCCTCTGCAGCTTCACGAGCCGCACCCTTCGAGCAAGATTCCGTTTTGGTTGGGGAGGAGGATTGGCCGCCGGCTGAACAGGACGTATGGATGGGACCGGGCCATGTTTTCAGCGTAGGCCAAAGACATCGAGAGGCTGCCGCATCGTGATGAATGGAAGGCTTGCGTGAAAGTCTGGAGCTTCAGTGGCTATAGCCCACGTGAAGATTGCAAAACGTGGACTGAGAAGGTGGTATGTGATCACGATGCCCAAACTCAATCGTCAGTGGTCTGTCTTACGAGATCCGCTGCGATACCAGGATGCCTGTGGGCCTCGACCGTAGCCATGTGGGTGAGCCGGATGATTCTGATGCACTAGAGTTTGATCATTGGTGATTTGCATTGTAGAAATAACATGCTTTGTATGTGCCACTCTTATGAGCGCAAAATCCATTTACAAGAATCGGCCGATTCAACCCAGAGAACTAACAGCCATAACACTAGAAATGTGACCACTCGATGCCAGATCGAGTACAGTGCATCCCATGACCATATTCCTGATTGCTTCCCACAACTCTGAACCCGGACGTCGCCGCTCAAGACACAGTCATGGTGGCGCTGCCAGAGCTCTTGTAGCCCTCGACGGCAAGGATCTGATAGTCGTGGCTCCCAAGGTTCATGCCGGCCTTCTTCCAGGCGGCGAAGTGGGCGCCCGTGTTGACGGAGCCGCTGGTGCGCTTGGTGCGGCGGACGGACCAGAACTGGGTGAAGGTGCGGGTGCCCTCGATGGAGGGGGCATTGGTGCGGGTGCTCGTGTAGAGGTCGTAGACGGAGCCATCGACGGTGAACTGACCCTTCTTGGTGGCGCCGGTGGAGGGGTTGTAGGTGCCGAAGCTCTCGACAATGTAGTACTCGATCAGGGGGCTGCGGGTCCAGCCGTAGATGGCGAGGTAGCTGTTGCCGTTGGGCTTGTACGAGCCGGAGTACTTGATGGTCCTGTGGGGAGCAGAGGTCAGTCGACGTTGAAGAATTTTGGGCGACTCGGATGATGAGATGGATGAGGGTCAACTGACCTGGCGCTGCCCGTACGCCAGCCCTTGCCGCCGACGTGGTTGCCATTGTTGTTCTTCCAGCTCACGCTGAACTTGCCGGCGTCGCCGTTGGTGTAGGTCACGCTGTTGGGGGTATCGGTCCAGAAGGAGTAGTAGAAACCGCCCGAGGTGCCGGTAGAGCTGGGCGTGCGCTTCGCCAGAGCAGTGCTGACCTCGGGGACGACAGCAATGGGGCTGGCCAAAATGCCGCTCACCACCGAGAAGGCGGCCAGGAGAGAAGTGAACGAGACCATGATGAACGAATGTGAGTGAACGAATGTATAGTAATCTACAATAAACGAATGTAAGTGATGTCTGTCCAAGAAAGCCAATGCCAAGCTAAGAACAAAACCAGAAAGGGCCTGGCTTCGCGGTAGGCCAAGGTATTTATGCCAGATTTACCAACCGCGGCCGTTTGACTAGCATTCGTTCAGTGGACAGGCTGCTCTGGGTGGCGTCTTCAGAACATGCCCGTTGATCTATTGAAAACCCACGCAACAGGCGACCCAGCTACATCGCAGGGCCCCCCAGCACGGCTCCTCGAACCCCTGGACAATTTCATGCTCTGGCGGGTGGGTTGTCGGTCCCGTTGCAGTGCACAGCATGCTGTGGCGCTAGCTTTTTCGGTAGCATCCCGAGAGCACATCTATCTAAGCTTGTTTCATCGCGTCAGCCGAACCAGCCGTCGCCAGTGACCCGCAACGTTGACAGGATGCTGAGTCGACGGACTGACCGACTTGGGACTTGTCGCGATATGTCAAGGCTTGTATAGGAATATAACTCCGACGCCCCCCCTTTCCATGGCGACCAAACTTGTCAGCCAGTTAGTCCAGGGTCAAAGTCTGGGTTCGCTCAGGTGGGTTGACATGCGCTCATGTCCGGAGCCGACGCGATGGGGAACGGAGCTTACGACAGTCCGTCCGACCCCCTGTCGATATCAAGGCGGCTGAATGCCTGTACATCAATCAACATGCGGGTTCTGGCGGGGTGGTGCTGATTTCGGCATATCATGCCTTGACCTCGCTCAGATCGAGGATTTGAGGCTAAAGTCGACGCACCATGGATCAACCGGCAGATGCAGCACTTGGCACGCTCCCCGCAATCCTCCGTTAGATGGTTGATGTGGTCAGCCAACGTTGTCTCGATCAATGCTGTTGATGCTGTCTGTCTGGGACTTGAATGTCTTTGAACGCTGACATGGAAGTCCGGTCCCAGCATTACAGTGGGAGGTGTAATGATTTACGGAGCTCAAAGCACCGGCTTGGCCATCTTTGCCAGGTGACAAGAGGAACAGCAACGCACCTGTCTTTGAAAAACATAGCCATATACTCTTCTGGAATCCAGGGCTGCTGGCCAACGCTGTAGCTAGAGACAGGAAAAAGAGTCAGAGACAGCAAAATGCTCAAATCTCTAGTCGTCCTGCTCTTCGCGAGCCTTGTCGTAGCCTTTCCCACCCTTGACGTCGACCAGGTTGCGGCCCTCCACAGACGCCAGGCGACTCCAAACTCGCAAGGTACGCATGACGGCTTCTTCTACTACTGGTGGAGCGACGGCCAAAGCCCGGCGGCATACACGAACCTGGACGGCGGCAGTTACCGTCTCCGGTGGGAGAGCGGCGGGAACCTGATCGGCGGCAAAGGATGGAACCCTGGGACTGACAACAGGTAAGGTTCCATAGCCACGCTTCCGTGCTCGAGATGCATCTGAACCTTCATCTAGGACTATACAGATTTCTGGAACTTACCAGGGTGTTGGCAATAGCTACCTTGCCGTCTACGGCTGGCTTGAGAACCCCGAAGTTGAAGTAAGTGCTGGAAACTAGGATGTATCTTCGACTCTATCTGTGACTACAGCTTACCTCTGACGCTGATGCCATGATAGTACTACATGATCGAGTACCATGGCATCTTCAATCCGGCCTACGACGCGCAAATCCTCGGTACGGTGATATGCGACGGTAGCGTCTATGACATCAGTCGAAGCACACGCGTGAGCTCTGGCGGGACGAAGATTCTGCAGCGGTACTGGTCTGTTCGGCGCAATAAGCGGACAGGCGGGACGGTACAGACAGGGTGTCACTTTGATGCTTGGCGCAGCCTGGGCCTTACCGCTGCGGATCACGGTTTTCAGATTGTCGTGGCGGAAGGGTACTTCAGCAGCGGGTTCGCAGAGATAACCGTCGCGGATACGGGTGCGGAAGATTAAAGCTCGCCGTTGCATGCTTTTGTTTTTGGTCTTGAAGGTTCTCAATGGCTGCATCTTCCATCATAGCCCCCCTGACTCCTGATACCCTATTGCCTCTGGGTAGATCAGGACCGAAAAAAATGCAACATCTCCCAGCGTACTCAAAAACACCTTGCACCATCTCCTTTTCAGTCCCTCAAGTGCCCCAAACCCCAGGATATCATCATGCCTTGGCGCCCCCAAACTTAACGAGATACTCATCATGAGCCTTCTTCTGCTTCTGCAGGTCCTTCTGCAGCTTCTTCAGCTGGCTCTTGGGCACCTCGCTGCCGTCCTTGAGCTTCGTCGGTAGGCCCTCGGCGTCCCACTCTGCGTACCTGTCGTCCGAGCGGAAGAGATCCGCCGGTGCGACCTTGGCCTTCTCCCACTTCGCTGCCTCCGCCTGCTCTTTGGCGCGTTTGGCTTCCTCTTTGGCACGCGCCTTTTCAGCCTCCCTGGCCAGCTTTTCGTTGCGTGCGGCGATAAGCTCGCTGGCGGGCACAAACTTGATCAGCGATGGCTTGCCCTCGAGACGGTCGTCAAGGTAAACGCCGACATTGGTGAGGTCATCGTCGCGAATGCGGTCGGTCAAGGTAAGAATGGCCTTCTTTGACTCGGGGGAGGCAGATGAGACGGCCTTGCGGAGCTCGTCACGCAACCTCGAAACAGCGCGGGCGTAGGGGTAGGCAAGCTGATCCGTGTCCCTCACGCCCCGATCGACGACTGCCTTGAACTCGGCTTCAGGGTTCTGCTGCTCGAGAAGGCTCGAGATCGACTCGGACGACAGGTTCAGCGCTTTGACGTCGGCAGCCACGGTTTCATACGCGTTGGCCAAAGGCTTGACAGCCTCCTTGGGATCGCTGCCGGCAGCGAGGGGCTGAGCCACCCAGCCGATACCACTGTATGGTGGTTGCGCATTCTCATCGAGGCCAAAGATGCCAACAATCTGCGTGATCCAGCGGGCGATGGCCTCGAGGGTCGTCACGCTGTCCTCGTCTGCGAGTTGAAGGTTGGCTGTGCCGATGAGGTCCTGGATGATACGCATCGCTTGCGGGGTGTCGAACGAGTTGGACAGTGCATCGTGCATCTCCTTCTTGGCCTTCTCGAGCTCAGCGGCCAAGCCACTCTTGGGGGTGTCGTCAGACACGGAGAGCGACTTGACGCCTTCGGACGGCGCTGAGCTCTGGTCAAGCACGCGAGCCTTGATGTTGGCGAAGAAGTTCTGCAGAAGGTTAACAGGCGGAAATTCACCCCAAAAGCCCAAGATTGACGTACCGAGACCAGCGTTTCCCAGCTGGCACCTTGCGCCCGCATGTCAGGAGAAATCTCGACGCCGTCGTTCCACTTGCCCAAGAGGAACACAACGCGCATGCTCCTGGACGTATAGTTGGTGGCCAGAGCATCCTGGATGGTCTGAAAGTTCTTCAGAGACTTGGACATTTTGGACCCAGAGATGGACAGGTGACCCATGTGCAAAAAGTGCCTGACCCACGTGTGCTCGCCCTTTTCCTGTTCGCAGTAGTAGGCCTCACTCTGGGCCAGCTCGTTGTCGTGGTGGGGGAAGGCGAGATCGACGCCACCAGAGTGAATATCCATCTGCGCGCCGAGGATATCAGAGGCCATGACGGAGCACTCAATGTGCCAGCCCGGCCTTCCGTTGCCCCACCTGCTGGGCCAGTATGGCTCACCTTCCTTGGACTTTTTCCAGAGCGCAAAGTCGCCGTCGCTCCTCTTCTCTCCCAGGTTCTTGGACAAGGCGCCCTCACCATCCTCCTGCAGGGACTTGTCGTTCCGGTTGCCCGGCCGCAGACGGGCGTATGTGTTGCCGGCCTTCTCGAAGGCCGTGATGTCGAAGTAGACGGAGCCGTCAGACTCGTAGGCGAAGCCCTTGTCGACGATGCGAGCGACAAAGTCGGCAATCTGCGGCACGTATTCGGTGACTCTCGTGATGACATCAGGGCGCAGAACGTTGAGGGCGTCCATGTCGTCGAAGAAGAGCTGCTCCATGCTCTGTGTGAGGTCGGTGAACATGGTCTGGTCGCTCGTGTCGACGGTCTCTTTGTACAGCGAGTCGAGGTAGGGCAGCAGAATCTCGTCGGCGCCGGGGAAAACCTTCTTGTCCTTAATGGCAAACGCCGCCGCGTCCATGTTGTTGATGTGCATCTTGGCCTTGGCCTCGTCGTCGCCGGGCTTTCCCGTGCCCGTCAGAGTCCCTCCGCCAGAACTTTGCCGTAGGCGGCATCTCGGCGCGCCAGGTAGTTGTCCTCGTCGAGTGCCTCGTTGTCCTGGACGAGGACTGGCAGTGACTTTTGTGCGTACGCGCGGAAGGCGTCGAGGGCGAGCTTGGCGAGCTCATCATCGGAGTATGTCTTCTTCTTCTCGAGTTCGAGCAGGCGCTGTCGCCTCGCCTTGATGATAATCTGTGGCCAACGTCAGCCTTCTCGTACGGAGTGTTCGCCGCTTTGTGCCCCGGAGACTCTCTCTCTCTCTCTCACCTTGTCGTCAATATCGGTAATGTTCATGACAAACTTGAGGTCGGCCTTGAAGTAGTGCATCATGATGCGTCTGATGATATCGGTGGACACATAGTTGCGAGCATGACCCAGATGACTCTTGTCGTAGACAGTCGGACCGCAGGCGTACCAGGACACCTTCCCCTTCTCAATGGGGTCGAATGGCACCGGCTGGCCTGGCGACAGCGAGTTGTGCACCTTGAGTGACTCCATGGTGCGGTGGGTCAGGGTCAACGTGGAGGCGAACGTTCGGGTGAATCGAAGAGGGGCAATCGGGGATGGTCGGTTCGAGATTCTAAGGCTGACGAGTCTGAAAAACCGATTCATCCAGGAGGCAAAGGAGAATCGGGGGGTGGATGTGGGAAGAGGGAATGCGAAGAAGGAAAGGAGGGTGGGTACGAAGAAAGACAAAAAGTACGGCGACAGAGCGATGGTGGTGGTTGTGTTGAGTCACGCAATGGAAGGGATGGAGGCTGCAGGAGACGAGCGATCACCAGAATGAGTGAATGGCCAGCTGGGCCTGTACGAAGCGTGCACTACGGACGCCATCCCCGCCGGGAAGGAACCCAATTTGTCCAACCCTGTCAGCCTCGCCTCCGTGCTGCTCTACCAAGGAGCTCATCATTGGCCAAAGCTGTCCCCCACCATTGCTACCCCGCGGTCATCGTAGCCAATCATGCCATGATGCGTCTCGACGCTTTCTTCAGCCTCGTCCAGAACTTTTTTTCTGCTGTTGCCGACCACTTTGCGGTTGGCTTGGCTTGGCTCAAGCATCCACCTTCAAGTCCTCCACAAGTGAGCCAGTACCTCTTGGGGCTTTACACTTCTCCAATCTCGGTCTCTTTACTTGATCGACTTTTCTTGCCTCTTGCCTCTCACGGCAAGCCAACATACACCATGGCGCGGCCGTCGGTATTCCTCGAACCGGGCCCCAAGACGACGGCGGGCTCCCTTGCCATCATCCAACTGTCTCGCGACAACCTCATTCCCCTCATTCTCGAAGACTCCACCACCGAGAGAGACGGCTACGCAGAAGGCGCAACGCTCAACACTCGCTTCGGGTCCTTCCCCCACTCGACATTTATCGGCGTTCCCTGGGGTTCCCAAATCCGAGCCTCCACTGTGGACACGGGTTCTCGTGGCCGCAAGCGCAAGCGCAAGGAGGGCGAGGAGGACGACAGCAAGGGCTCGACGCCGAACCCGGCCGACGACTTTGATGCGCCCACGGTGCTGGCTCCCGCGAAAAAGGCCGTCACAGCCAACAGTGGCTTCGTTCACATCCTCCAGCCCACACCCGAGCTCTGGACACAGAGCCTCCCCCACCGAACACAGGTCGTCTACACACCCGACTACAGCTATGTCCTCTCGAGGATACGCGCCCAGCCCGGCACGCGGCTGATCGAGGCCGGCGCCGGCAGCGGCAGCTTCACCCACGCCTCCGTCCGCGCCGTCTACAACGGCTACCCGACGACGTCCTCCGAGCCCCGCGCAAGGTCTACAGCTACGAGTTCAACCGCGCCGCTACGAGAAGATGCACGAGAGATCGCGTCACATCACCTGACGGGCTCGTCGAGCT